CATATTTAAAAGCGTTTTTAGAAAGATTAAAATTATACTCATGCTGCTCCCTCCGTCCCCCCCCCCCCAAAAAAAAACAACCTCACAACCTCATACTAGGATGCGATACATCCTAGTATGTTCAGATTAGTTGCACTAGGATGTGTCACATCCTAGTATAAGGTTAGCTTTTTTGGGACGGATGGAGTACTTCCCAAGTCGCTTTTGGCCACGAGCACGGCTAACCGGTTAGTTTTATCTCTGCAGAGTTCGTACAAATCCACATGACTCTAGTTGGTTTGGTGCCAGCCTAACACCCCACACTCTACATATTGAGGGCAGGCTAGAGGTCACAACATAACCGTTACATTGTCTAGTGTCTAGCCTTGTATCAGCGACGACAAGTGTGACTCCACCCTAGGAATGACCCAGAGCCGCTAGGTGGTGGGCCTATCCCTTAAACTTAACACCGTGGCGGCAAACACATATGTTTCCCCACGATGCACTAAACCATTGTATTGGACAAAGTAAGGCGCCCAAACTACTCTTAGCGAGCAAATAGGTAGCTCCTCTGAATAATCGTTAAGACTAATTCATACTACTCCAGCCTACCAATATGCAAGGCTAAATCGCTAAGACGAATGCTCCCCCTATCAGTGCACAACTACTACCATATGTACACCACTCGTCACTGTTGACGGCTGTTAAGTGCCAAATTAACGCCGTCAATACCTGCATAAAACCATAGATGTAAAACATCCAACATAGTGGTAGGATTTATTTCTAACAATTTCCACGAGTGTTAGTGTATATTCGTATACAGGAGACAAACTACCTATGTTGAGAAGAAATATATATGAAGGAGGAGGAGAATCAAACTCGTATCCAAACATATGGAGTTTTAGACCTAAAAACCCAATTAAACACCTCCAAATGGGTCAAACATTCATACCAATGGATTGAAGGGCCCAAAATGAGTGTCTAGGCTGAAAACCGGGGCCAACAGAGCCGGCAAGGGTTCGGCCGATCCTGACAGAGGCCGCTGGCCCAGGGCGAAGTTGCATCCGGTAGATAACGCTCTCCCAATGACAGTTATGACCATTTCCGACACTCCAACCGTCATCCAAATGGACACTTGGCATGAGGAGAGTGAATATGCTCATTGGATGCCATGGAGGATCTCCACACTCCCAAGCAAGCTCCACACTATAAATACCCCTATCATCTCCCTCATTCACACACACCAAGGTATGAGTTGAATTACAAGAGGCTCTACTGTACTTTATTATATATTAGAATAGGGAGAGAGTAAGGTAGAAGAAATCGGAGGAATCCTGGAGTTATCGGCAATCTCCTCTTACTTTTGTATCTTGTTAATTACTCTACTTTAATAGAAATATCATTCTGAGTAATTAAGATTCGCTTAGTGAGAATTACTTCTTGGTTAGTTCCTAATTAGCATGCGTGATAATTGTTCTCTATAGTCCATTAATTTATAGTGATTGCTTTAGTGTTTGATCGGCACTAGAGTAGTTATTAATTATGTAGATGCGGTGTCAGGGTAATTAATTTTCAGTGGTTGCTACGTATTCCATAGTACGTTTGAGGTGGGTGTAGAGGTGGTGACAGCCCTCAAGAGCACTTAAGTCCTCCCTGTCCGGGTACGTAATAGAGTGATATCTGGGAACAGCGGGTTGTCAGTGCCTGAACTATTGCGTTAAGATTAAAGTTAAGCTTTCCCTAGACATTGTTTCTTATTAGGAAATCATCTCTGCCCTCTGCCCACATTAGCTTTGTGTCCTTGGATGAACCTGACGAGGAGTTGAACTCATACGTTCCCTGTGGAAATTGATACTCTAAAATACTTCTGGGTGAAGTGCTACATCGGTTTCTTCCATGCGTTTGCGGATTCTATCTGTGACGTTAAGAAATACCAATAGCCACCCAAGTCTAGAATCATGTTTTTCCTCCATTTTAGTTCACAAATAAATAGAGGCACTGTGGGGGAGTCCATCCGCCACATCCGGCGTTGCGGGTCTGACTTGCGGCCATCCCAGCGCTTCAAGCCGTCCCCACCCACCCACCAGCCATCCATCGCAGAGGTCCGGCGAGCCATCGGCCTCGACAACGATGACCCTTCGGTGTCCTCCCGCCGTGGGGAGAGGCAGTTCGTGTTCCGGCAGCCGAAGGACGATGGGGTGGGGGGGGGAGGGAGAGGGGGTTGAGCTGCCTTGTCCACCACCACCGCCGCTGCCGGATATAGAGGAGGAGAAGATGGGATGGAGAGAGGATGAGGAGGGGAGGAGGAGAAGGACAAGAGGAATGGCGGATGAAGAGGATTAGGTGTGAGAGAGAGAGAGAGGGCGATGGTGTGTGGTGAGACGAGCGGATAAGGTCGAGTTGGCTTGGCTTAGTTTTTGTGACGAATGCAGCCATCATGATCCTGTATACCAAAGGGGTATTGTCCAACAAACAGATATGTTGCTCAACCCTTGAAGCTACCCATAGTTGTCATGTTGTGGCTTTAACCATGCACTCTCTCGGGACATCCAGGCCTTGTGCACTTCATGTCATACATCATCCTATTTTGAAATCTTCACCCTAAAATCCCGCCTCTGTAGAAATGCCCACCTCTTCACGACATAATGTAGGTACCCTTTGTCATGAAACATCTGTCGAACTGCACCTGCTTACAACCATACCGCCAGTGGTCATCTAAACCATCGTTAATCCTCAGACGACTCATCGATATGGTTGTTCAATCATCAGGTACGTTCGTTTCCTCGTTTTTTAGTTCTACCTCTTCCGCTGTCGCCTCATTCTCCTCCATTACGTCAACAACCAAAGGTGAGTCCGACTCATCGTCATCCTATTCATTGGCCGGGCAATTACTATCAGGCACAACGAACTCTACCAGTGCAATAACCTCTTTCGGTGCTTTGCCTTGACCACTCGTACAAACACTAACTTCTTCCACGACCACAATAGGAGATTGTTCCACCTCCGTGCAGCTTGTCTCGCGGTTCCAAAAACATCTATTTTCTTCTGCACCAGTATTGCCAGACTATACCCTTTCTCCTTTACTTTAGCCACAAAATTTCTCCAACTCCCAGTAGATGCAAGCCCCTTACCGGCCACACATCTTTTATGATAAAAATTTTCAACAACGGATCTACCTTGAACATATTATGTAGCCACCCTAGCACATTGTTCATAATAAACTGCCTTGGATTTGGTAAAAAAAAAAACTGCCTTGGTGCATTCAGGCTAGTATCGACGAATGCATATACAGTCGAATCTACTCCACTGTCACAAAGTTGTATGGGAACATCGCCATAATACCACGAAAAGGCACATCACCTAACATCCTAAAATAACATGCCAAATTGTCTTACCATGTTACTACCCAATAAAGTCTTCTTAGTGATCACTACTTGAAAATTAATAGATTGCTACTCACCTCACAAAATATGTACTAACTTCGAACTAATTTTAACATATAACTAATTTAATATATGTACTAACATTGAACAATGAGAAATGATTAACAAATTATACGTATTAACATTCAACAATGAGAAACGATTAACAAATAACAAGCATCATACTTTGGGATTAAAACTTCACAAGCCTCATACTTCGGGATTACAAATTCACATGCCTCATACTTAAGGATTAAAAGTTCATACCTTAACCACCGTCGCCTCCCCTTCCCTCCGGCCCATGATGGCTCTCCCGCGCGATGGCGACGGCAACGACGATGTGGTCTTGAGCTCCTTCAACGAAAATATGTGCACAATTGGCTCGGTGGGGAGGTGATATAAATGGGCCTGTTAACCTCCCATTGTTCAATAGGGTTGGTGAGGGGGGGGGGAGGGGGCTGTCGTACTACGGTTGCCAGGCGATGGGGCCTGTTGAATGGCCGAAGTTCGACATGTTCCCTATCGAACGCCCGCAGCTCGACATGTTCCAGTCGAACACACCTCGTTTGATTGCCTGGCCTATCGATCCTTTGTCGTTCGATAGACCCTATTTTGGCGGATAAATCCGGATGCCAACTATTATTGTGATTTTCCATTAAAATAATAATATTTCTAAAAAAATCCATGTTTGGGCAACCAGACTAAACACACTATGCCCTCTAGCTAGCGATTACTCTTGGCTTGAGCACAATTAAAAAAAAGAAAGAAAAACAACGAGAATGGGCAGCGATACACGGATGAAAAAAGAAAAAGAGGGGAGCTTCTCCCGTAGAAATAAAAAGAGGAAATGTGTAAAAAAAGAGGAAAATGTTGGTTGCATGGAGAACAAGGCAAGTGGGAGACATACACTATAAGGTGAGATACACGGATGAAAAAAGAAAAAGAGGGGAGCTTCTCCCGTAGAAATAAAAAGAGGAAATGTGTAAAAAAAGAGGAAAATGTTGGTTGCGTGGAGAACAAGGCAAGTGGGAGACAGACACTATAGGGTGAGACATCATAGGCCTAGTTTAGTTCCCTAATTTTTTTCCCAAAAACATCATTTTGAATCTTTGGACATATACATGGAGCATTAAATATAGATTAAAAAAACTACTTGCACAGTTATGGAAAACTTGCGAGACGAATCTTTTGAGCCTAATTAGTCCATGATTAGTCATAAGTACTACAGTAACCTACATATGCTAATAACGAATTAATTAATTAGCGTCAAAAGATTCGTCTCGCGGTTTTCAGGCGAGTTAATTATGAAATTAGTTTTTTCATTTGTGTTCGAAAACCCTTTCTGACATCCGGTCAAACATCCGATGTGACACCTAAAATTTTTTTGTATGCACTATTATTCAATGGTTTTTGTGTGAGATTTGATCTGCTATAACATGAGTATAACATGAGTGTGACTTACAAATCTGTTGACTGCACTAATTTGATTAGCATACAGTATTTCTAAGCTATAAAGAGGGGAAAATAACTGGGTTGAAGACACATGACTTCCACCTGCTTTTGCATCGAATACTTCCAATTGGAATTTGAGGGTATTTGCAGAAAGACATTTGTGATGCACTATTACAGTTAGGTAGCTTTTTTCGTCAACTATGCTCTAAGTCATTGAAGCTTGATGTGCTGGAAAAGTTAGAAGAACAAATAATATTTGTGTTGTGCAAATTGGAAATGATTTTTCCACCTGCATTTTTTGATATTGTGGTACACTTAGCAGTCCATTTACCACAACAAGCAAGACTTGGTGGACCTGTACAGTATAGATGGATGTTTTTTATTGAAAGGTATGTGTTGATTAGGATCCTTCTGTTTGTTCTATAATTTTGTCGTTGTACTGTAGTAAGTGTATATTATTGGTATGTAGGTTCCTTGGTACTTTGAAAGGCATGGTGAGCAATAGGGCACATCCAGAGGGTTCAATCGCGGAAGCCTATATTATGAAGGAGTGCTCAACATTTTGCTCTATGTATCTCAATGGAATTGAGACAAGGTTCAATAGGGAAGAGAGAAACTATGATGGAGAGAGGCAATTCGCTGATCACTACTCAATATTTTCATCTAGATTCCGTGCTTTTGGTCACAAGAATGACGTAATCCTAACACAAGATCAATATAATTCCCTGTGTTGGTACGTGCTCAATAATTGTGAAGAACTGCAAGGGTTCCTATAGTAAGTAAAATAAAATGATATTTCAATAATAGTTACAAATAATTACATAGTTACTTGTACTAATATATCACATGTCGCAACAACATTTTAGTGAGCATGAGGACGTTTTAGAGGCACAAGGTGTGGGAAATATAGCAAATAGACAGAAACAAGAGTTTGCTACATGGCTGCGCCAAAGAGTAAGCTCACACTTGGCTTCACATAAACTATATGTCCATTGTTTGCATTAGCTAACATGCATTATTTTTGGCAATAAGGTTATAGATTTGTGCAAGGATGGTTCATCCCAAGTATCTGATTGTTTATATGCCCTTGCAATTGGACCACACAAAAAAGTACATAAATACTCTGGATGTATTATTGGTGGAGTTAGATTTTTAACAAAGGAGCGGGAGGAAGGTCGAAAAACTCAAAACAGTGGAGTATGCGTTGAGGGTCCACATAAAGGGAAAATCATAACATACTATGGTACTCTCACAGACATATATGTCTTGGATTATCCTAATGATCGGCAAGTTGCATTGTTTATGTGTGATTGGTACGATCTGGAGAGAAACAAACCAGTGATCATTGACAATGACTTTGTTAGTATTAATATAAGCAAAAGGTGGTACACAGATGACAATTATGTATTGGCTAGTCAAGTTAAGCAGGTCTTTTATGTACTTCATACTAAATTGAAGGGGAATTGGCAAGTAGTGCAAAAGGTTAACCATCGGCACCTATTTGATCCAGAGGTTTGGAGTGCTGGGAGTGAAAGTGCTTTAGACATCGGTGCTAATGAAGATATTGCCTTTCAAGAAGAAGAGGGTGGTGATATTGTTCTGGATGATACTTTTGAAGCTAATACATTGAGTCGCGATGATGTGATTCCAGAAATTGTTAGTGATCCAAAAGAGATAGCATCTTTAAAGGAGGGTCCTGTTTCTCGAAGTGAATGTGAAGAAGAAACTGAGAATTAGATTTCTTGTGATTCTATTATACATCAGTAAGTATGGAAGTAAATTAATGAATGTTTTCCTTCATATAACTTATGTTACATATTTTAATTATTGCTCTAGTTATATATGAACTAATAATGCTGTCAAAACTTCTTACTCTTATCAATTGTTTGTGCAGTTTGTTTGTTTTTATTTATTTATTTGTTACTCCATTACTTGATTATGCTCACTTATTTATTTATTGTTAGCTGCAGATGGCACCTGGACAGAAAGTTTGGCCTCCAAGAAACTCACAACCATCTAATTGCCCACAAACTCAGCATGTTTCTACTTCCAACTCCAAGAAAGTGCGTGGAAAGAATAAATCAAAAGGTCTGGAGCTCCTGATAAAAAAAGCTGGTCACCCACTGAACTTGAATATTTCAGTAGAGAGGAGGCCAATTGGAGAAAATCATGAACTACTTTCAAGGGAGATTGGGATTGTTACTAGGTACCATGCACCTATCAAACGCATTGGTTGGAACAATTTTAGTGAGGCTGACAAAGAACCTGTCACGCCCAGAAATTTAACCCAAATTTCCAGACTATTTTGCGTATTAAATCCCTGTCCAGGACCATCCAGGGTACACAAAACGACAAGTAATATACAGTTCCAAACGTAAATAAAGCGTAAAATACTTACGGAAGAGGCACTTAGTCCTCACACCGAAATAGAACGACAGCAGCGGAAAAAGGCGATCCTAGCGGGGCTTCAGCTCCACTCCACAGGCAAAACTCAACTGGGGTCTGAGCCTTGGTCCTCTAACTCCATCTTCAGCTCAGAAGCACTACACTTCTGAAAAAGGGGGAATAATAGCAAGACTGAGTACAACTACCGTACTCAGCAAGCCACACCAACGATGCAGATGTGCAAGGGGATACAAGGATGGTTTGTGGCTATTTGCATAATGGCGGTTGTAAAACATTTTATTGAGCAAAACAGTAAAACGGTTGAGTAATTAAAGTAATATTGAATCTCCACTGATCAACGCTACACCACGTTGAACAGGCCCAACCAACCCACCTGAACTACAGTGTATTGAGTCGATTTATTAAGGTGGGACTAATCACGGTGAATCTGGTCGACCGCCCATAACCGCGGGCACGGCTATTCGAATAGCTTTACTCTGATCAGAGGTGTACAACTGTACCCACAAGACACAGCCCCACGACACGTTTCCGTGCGCCGACATGCCACCACGACATACCGGAAAGAGGCCGTGACAGGACCCTTCGCATAACCCCCTCTAACCAAGCACACCACACCTCAGGTTTCACCCTCACTCCTCGCAAGGCAGCGGGCAGTCCCCTCTCGTGCCTAGGTGAATCCGGAAGCCGCATAGGCCGTCGCAGGGCCCATCCAAACTCCATCACACCCACCCTTGCCTGGATGCGTCGGCTAGAGGAAAGCTACACTACAAGCCCAGCCGTTGCCCACGCTGGCTTGTGGTAAGTACGATAAGTTCTTCCAGGGCATCCCGTGAACTGGTCCTTAATTGCCATGGGTGCGACTAGCAAAACCATGCACCCACAGCCCACCATTCAGTCGCATTTTAGTTGGATAATTACGACCATGAAGCATGGCCAGATGTCTCGAGCACGCAGCTCACTCTGATACTAAAAAGGTCTAATACTGTAATTATCCCATCAACTGAGCTAGGTCACATAAGTAACATGAGCTAGTCGATTCATTACCCAAGGTTGATAAAGAACAGATATCAAGTAAATATGGCACAAGCGAGCAGATAGGTAATACCCGGATCCCATGTAATTAGCAAAACATGCCTATTTATTTGTAAACGGTAAAACATTTATAAATTGGGATCAACATGCTCAAGGGGAATGTGTGACTTGCCTTGCTTCTTCACTTGGATCTTATGAACTCTTATCCTTGCGAACGCGATCTTCCGAAACGACGGGAACTACACGCTGGCATGCAAAACGAGGAAAACTCTAATAAAAACCAAGGAAACAGTACATAAAAAGTAAACAAACATGTAGAGCTCAATTTTAGATGAATTTTGCAAGTTGAATGGCCCAATTTGGAGTTCGAATGAATTAGATATGAATTTTAGAAGTTTTGAGCCATTTAAATGGATTTCTATAATTATTAATGATTTATTGCGCAATTATCAATTATTTTCTCAAAGGAAAAGGCATTCGCTGACGTCAGCAAGGGGCGCCGGCGCCGACAGGCGGGCCCCACACGTCAGCGAGACGAGGTGGCGGTCCACCGTGGACCGGGACCACAATGGACGGTCCACCGCCGGTCCACGGGTTGGACGGCCCAGATCGGCCAAGGCCAATCGGACGGCTGGGGACGGCCGGGCGACGCGGCCTGGCCAGCGCGCACACAAGGCTGGCGGCGGCGGCGGCTGGGACCAAAGCGACGGCGGCACACGGGCTGGGCGGCCACCGGCGGCGGCGGCACGGCGCGCGCAAGCACGGGAGGCGGCCGGCCAAGGGGAGAAACAGGGAAGAGGGAGGAGTGCTCACCGAGGGCGGCGACGGCGAGACGACCACGGAGAGGCGACCGGCGGCGGAAAGGATGGCGGCGGTCGGCACGGGAGGCGACGAGAACGGCGTTCCGACGACGCCCGACCACGGCGGAGCCGCGGCCGAGGGGCGGTGGGATGCAGCGAATGCGGTGGAGGCGGTGGCGTGGCGTGAGGTAGATGGGGACGGCGGCAAGAGGCGGCCGGTTGGCGGCAGTTAGTGGTGGGGCTCGGGTTTGAGGTGGGAATGGTGTTCCAAGGGGTGCGAGTGGAAAAGGAGGGGCGGACGGGCAGCGGCAAGGCACGGCGAAGCCGACGGCGGTGTTGGCGCGGCGTGGCAGCGGCGGCGAGGTGCGACCGGAGGCGGTGAATATGTCGGCGACCTCGGGTGCACGGTGAAATGGTGGTTTCGGTAGGGAAAGGGGAAAACGGAGCGGTGGCTGAGCTAGCCCGCGTGGCGGAGAAGCTGGCGATGTTGGCGGCGCGAAGCGGCGACGGCTATGGTGGCGGTGGTGCGCGGCTGGAGTTGGCGATGGTGGAGGAAAGAGATGGTGCGCGTGGCGGCGGTGCTTCGGAGGCGGGGAGGGGAAATGGAGCGGATGCCAGGGTGCGGTGGGGCGATGCAAAGCTATAGGTGGCAGCGGCGCAGTGCGGGGGCGACGGAAACGGTGATGGCGCGCGGCTGGATGGTCGCCGGCGTGCGGCGGCGCACGAGAGCGGCGTGGGGAGCTCGAGAGAGCGCGCGGGAGGGGGCGGCGAGTTGGGGAAATGGATGAGGGGAGGCCGGGGTACACTTTTATAGGCCCCGGAGGGGGAGATCGTGGCCGAGTGGGGCGGCAACGGCCGGCGAAGTGGCGAGGCATCGTGGGATCGTGGGGGGGCCAAACTGGCGCCGGTTTTTGGGGAAAAACGGGGGAGGAGGTGGAGGAGAGGGGTGGCTTCCGGTCCCACGCGAGAGAGGGCTCGAGGAGGCCGGGAATGGCGGCGACGTGGGCGGTTTTCGGCGGCCATGGCGGCAACGGCAGTTGCCGGCCTGAGGTTGGGGATGACAGGTGGGCCCATGGGTCCCATCTGTTGGCCAAAGAGGAGAGGGAGGCCGGCTGGGGAGGCAGAGTAGACTTCGGGGAGGAGAGGGCCGAGCGGCGAGCTAGGCCGAGGGAGAGAGAGAGCCCGAGAGGGGGAGGGGGAAGGAGAGAGGGGCGAGCGGGCCAAGGAGGGGGAAAAGATCTTGGGCCGAAAGCGGCCCAAAGACAAAGAGGGGAAATTTTGTTTGTTTTCTTTTTATTTTAATTGATTAAATGAACTTTGTGCTATTAAAGTTATTTCTTGAGCTCCGAAAATTCACTAGAAATTTCAGAGAGTATTTTAAGGCACAAAGAATATTACAAAATATTCCCGGCCAATGATTTTAAGGGAAAATTTTAATTCTCCCATTAATTCATTCGAATAAATTGCTTTAACTTTTAATATAATTTCTAGAAATGCATTATTAAATGATTTTTAAACCCGAACGAAAATCGGGGCGTTACAGAACCTTTGTATGAGCTTCTGAAGGTGTATAATATTATCATTTTTATTCCTTTATGTAATATCTTTGACTTCTCTGGAGTGATCTTGCAAATACTAACATCTGAATTCTATCTTTTGCAGATGAAATTCAACTTAGATTTATCTGAACCTCATGTTAAAGGCTGTCTGGAGCTACTATTTTCATCAAGCTATAAAACATTTCACCATAGATGCTATACTCATTATCTCAAGTCTGGTGGTGGGGACAGTACTCGTAACAGTCCATATGAACCCCTTCGTGACAGACCTGGTGATTGGACTTGGCTTTGTGATCATTTCGAAACAGAAGAATTTCATGTATATGATTCTTTGCATGCTTTATCTTATATCTGAATGCATGCCTCTTAACAACTAGCTAAATTTATTTCTTCTTCATATTAACTAAGGCATTTTCTATGTGTTCCTTTGGCTATTCTTGCCATATGTAGAAAAAATCAGTTATAGGGAAAGCTAATCGGATGAAACTGTCATATGTTCATAAAAAGGGAACCAAACCATTTGTGGCACTTCAGCATGAATTAGTAAGCTAAATTTCATCTACTTTCCGTATGATTTATTTTTCGTAAGCATCTGTTTAAGTAAATATTATGTCTTGGCAGAGTTGTGATCAAATCTCATTGTACAAGGAATGCTATTGTAGTGACAAAGGATGGGCGTCAAGAGATGCTAGACAGAACTATGTAAGTATCATTCTAACGAGTCATTTTCACTATAGTTAAGTGTCTTCTTGTGCTAACAAAAACTTTTGATTTTTTTCTGTATAAAGGAAACAATGTTACAGATGCAGCATGAAAATGAGCAAGAAGGTGCAATCCAGCTGACAGAGCAACAAATTTGTGAGAAGGTGCTTGGGAAGGCATATGGATATATTAGAGGGAGAGGTCATGGTCCGAAACCTAATAGAAGAGCTTCATCAACTTCAGCAAACACCTATCAACAAATGGAAGAAGAATTGGCTTCTACAAAACAAACTGCGGCAGTTCAACAAAACCAGCTTGCAGTACAACAAAATCAGCTTGAATCTCAACAAAAGCAACTTGATTGGTTGCGCAGTGTCGTGTCCAAACTTGCTGGTATTCCACCTCCTGCTATGGATGATAATGATGCCTCAGGACCATCCCACACAACCACAACTTCAATTGATGGATCCGCTATGCAACATTTTTTTCTTCTAAAAGAAAAACAGAATATAGTGTTATAATACATAGAAATGCCAATTAACTTTTGTTAAATTTATTTGATAGGTTCACTGGTTTTGGATGGAATGTCAAGGAGATCATGATTTTGAAGATCTTTGATTAGGAGGTATTACTACTAGAAATTGATTGCCCAAACCATATGGAAACTTGAGCATGCATGTTGTACTGCTTCTATAAATTCATGTTTGAATTGAATCTCTAATGTATACGCTGGAATTCTATAAATTTTCCAATCGACTTTTTATGTCCTGTTTCTATTAAAACTCCACTGTAGTCATAGCACTGTTCTGAATTTTTTTCAATTAAATTTTAGCAATGTTTCCCATACTCCATGCATCTTAAAGTTGCAACTAAATTGAAACTTCGTTCCTTTGAAATAAGTTCGTCATTAACAATTTTAAAGAAGACAGGATTAGAGGATCGACCAGATCAACATAGTAGTGAATACGAACATTTTATATATGTGATCCAGTCCATGACATTTTCTAATTTCCCTGAGATTAGCCAGGAACACCGCAACGTAATCTCCCAGGCTACTACATCATCTTGACAATACTCATCATGGTGTTTCAAAACAAGCATCAGGTTGCGATACTCCAAGAGACTTGTATAAACTCAACCATAGTACTACAGAAATTTTGTTTACTTGGTGGTACAGTGATTCGTAGTTCTATTCAGATAGAAGTGATTCATATTTTTCTTCAAATAGATTACTCCTTTAGAAGTTGACTTTTGGGTATAATGATTTCCTTGTAAGACTGCACATCAGTTTTAATGTGTTACCGTGTCAAGCATGTACTCAAAGGTGAAGCTTGAGATGAGTTTATTGTAGCACTATTCTGCAGTTGATGCTATGGTAACCTAGTTGATTCATATATGAATTGCACATCAAATTGCCATAGTACTATAGTTTCTATTAATTGCTCTGTCTGAATTGAATTATGCAGTGGGTGAACAAACCTTTAGTCACCAAGGTAATTAATGTTCTAGCTGGCAGGATGTATGTACTTACCAAGGAGGGTTGGACACAGCATACTTTTAGTTGCCAATTACTTAGTGGCAAATTATAAATAGTCACCAAGCAACCTTGGTTATTAGATATTTTTAGTTACCAAGTACCACTTGGTTCTAAAAAATATATAGTTACCAACATTTTGTTGGTGACTATTGCTTTTACATATTGTTACCAACTATGGTTGGTAAGTAATGATATTATCTTTAACAACCGAGGAGATCACACGTTGGTTACAAAATACATTTAGCAAACCGGGTTGTAGCCACCAAGATGCGACCAAGGTTCATTGGTAGCGAAAACTCAATAGCAACTAGCTTGTAGCTTATTGTCACCAACCACCTTGGTAACTAATGGTCTGTTTTCTTGTAGTGTTATGAAATTAGTTTTTTTATTTGTGTTCGAAAACCCTTTCTGACATCCGGTCAAACATTCGATGTGACACCTAAATTTTTTTTTTCGCGAACTAAACAGAGTTAAGTTTGTCGAGCAAGTCATTTGACCGATATGTGGGGCGCTTAGTGTTGTGGGCCCCACATGGCCGTGAGTGAGGCTATAATACGAGTCGTGACTCGTGTGCTTAATACGACATGTGCGGCGATGGGGGGCCACTCGCCCGAACGGATCGCGCTGCGAGCAACCGTGGATGAAGATTCTACGGTCCAGATGATCTCGATCGATTAGTTTGGGGGTCCATAGAAAGGTTCGCAAATTAAGCAAACAAATTTCTTTTGCTAGCCGATCCAACTGCATGCCATATGCATGCTTCGCAATAACAATTAATTAAAATAAATAAGGTCATTTTGTACACTGCCTTGTCTTAATTTCTCATCACTTGATTTTCACATGCATACTTTTAAAACTGATAAATGGTATTTTTTAGAAGTTATAGAAAAATGTAGTTTAAATCACACGATAATATGCTGTTCCGTTTTACGTGTTACTCCCTTCCGTTTTATAATGTAAAACTTTCTAGCATTGCCTACATACATATGTCTAGATTCATTAATATCTAAATGAATATGGGCAATGCTAGAAAGTTTTACATTGTGAAACGGAGGAAGTAGAACTTAGGAGTATTCTCGACCCTTTCTAAAGAAACTCAGCCTAAGTACTCCAATTAAGATACTTATTTGTTTTGAGATATATATAATTTATTAGGAAAATGCTACACACACGACTACGGCGTCCGACTGTCGTACGACCACGGCGTAAGCGACGTGATCTATTCCCAAGTCGAAGCTAAGCAGCTAAATAAACGTTTGCTTTGCATATCTTGTGAAACAGTGATCAAACTTGGTTGTATTCTTTGTAATTTCAATCGGTGAACTAAACAGAACATTTGCATGTTTTATTTTTATTTAAGATTTAGAAACTATGCTTGTGGTTTTGGACATCACTGCATTTATATTTTGTTTAATACAACCTGTTATAGCCATAAAAATAGAACTTGAAACTGTGGTATATACTCTCTCCGTTTCATATTATAAGTTAAACTACTTTGATATTGATCAAAGTTAAACTACTTTAAATTTAACTAAGTTTATAGATAAATATAGTAATATTTGTAATATCTTGGAGTGAAAATATTACTATTTTTTTACGAACTTGGTCAAACTTCAAACAATTTAACTTTGATCAAAGTCAAAACTTTTTGTAACCTGAAACGGAGGAGTATATTAAGAGGGTTAAAAAAAAACTTGTATGGAAAATGGGCATCTGCAGCTGTGAAAACATTACAAGAGAATGTTAGAGATCGAAGTTAGCAGGCAGTGATTCAGATCGACCAAAATTCCGGCAGAAATGTCGTATAGCCATGTCCGCCATGTTAATGCTGTCTTCCAGAGTTTGGGCTTAGAGTCTAGACTTGTATATGGGCTTGCATGGCATTAGACCGATTCATATATAGAGTCGTCTCACGTCGTCACGTTGTTTATTGTTGCCGTTTCAATCGTATGGTAGTCGGATGATTTACGTTGGACTTATAGCAGGGTTGAATTTATTATGCTGTGTTTGAATGTTTAATTTTGAACGGAGGAAGGAAGGATGATTACGCACGCTGTCTATACTACTACTAGTAGCAGCGCGCTGTGTATTGCATTAATTAAATTGCTAGCTGTAGCTAGTAATCTCCTCTCCACCCACGCCCAGACCCAGCGCTACACTATTACGAGAGAGTTTCTTAGCATCAATCAATCGAGAGGCGAGAGATGATCTATTAGAATCGAAAGAGGAGGCGCCGCACCACGCACACCACCATTTACAGATTCTTCCACTCGATCCTCTCGTCTCCGCGCCTCTCCATCTCCTCGTCTCGATCGCCTCCGCCGCCCGCACCTCGATCGATCGCGCGCCGCGCGCGCGCGTCATGGCCACCGACGGAGATCCTCCACCGCCACCGCCGTCGTCGTCGCCGTCGCCACCGCCACCGCCACCGCCACCGCCGCCGGAGCGGATGGTAGCAGCAGAACGGTACGCGCACACGATCGATCGAATCCCTCCCCGTTCCCGTCCAATTAATCCAGTAGCGTTGCTACTTTGCTTTAAGCCCCAGCGAGCGTGCGAGCGTGCGTGCGTGCTGCTTGTTGGATTTGATTTGGACTTTTGATTTCTCGTTCGCCGACTCGCTTCGTGGATCTCTTACTGCGCCGCGATTTTGCTTGCTGGATCGCACACATCTATCTCTGCTTACTAGTGTGCTGCTTAATTTGTTTTAATTCATGAGTTAAGCGTTCGATCGTTCGATCGATACCTGTGTTTGGTGTTAATTAAAACTCCATCGATCGTTGTGATTTGCTTGCATTGTTCGTTAATCTCCGATGGATGGATACGATTCCTACCCGTCTGCACGTACACGTACACGTACCGACGTACGCGTCCCCTCAATCGATCACTACCTTTTGCAAGCGAAATTAGTGCTTCGTTGGATAGTGTTTTATTTTGCTAATTAACTACCGTTAGTCCGATTGATCGATATGATCATTGCCTGGGTTTCATTTAATGTTTCACTTTCTCTCTCCTTTAATTTGCTTGCGCTTCCGTTGAATCTGTGATGTGGAATCCATCGATACGATAGCGCATTCGTGCTAGCTTGAGCTAATTAGTTGGATGATGTTTTATTTGCTCCATGATCTAGCTGCTATACCTTAGTTAATTGCAGTCTATTTGCGGCCACGCTGGTATATACGTACGTGTTGATTGCTTGTACTGTTCGTTTGTTCGAGTTCGTGTGCTGTATACATGCATGCTCCATCGACGATCGATCAGCTATCGATCAACCTGTTCTATATATGTGTCTGTTAACTACCCCCAAGAACAGAGGAAGAATCGTCCAAACAGAACAACGATACACACACAGAGATAGATTTCACCAACCCGACAGGGTTGATGCCGCCGCCGCCTTCGCCGCCTAGTTCATCCTCAACTCATCCAAATGAATACAGAGTTAGTTTTAAGATGCTCTCTCTCTCACACGCAACTATCGACAGCCTGAACATGGTGCTCATATGGCCCATTCCGGCCCACTCACTCTAGGATTACATACTCGGTGCCTAACAGGTCTTCCTTCCTTAGTCTGCTTAACCTCCTTGGTCTTGACAGTGTTCTGTAGCTCATCCGGTACAGCTGTGTTGCTGACAACCCCCTCTCCTTGAGAAGTGGCTTGACCCCAAGCCAAGGCATTAGGAAAACGCTGACACAACTCAACTTGATCCTCTCAAGTTTCCTGTCCTGTAACATCTCCAGACCACCGAATTAAAACTTGAGCTTTCACAGAGTTACCTTTCCTGATCTGACGAGAAGCCAAGACAGCCACAGGAACTTTAAGGTCAGAACATGCAGGCAAACACGGTTGAACAGAATGCCTGAACCCAACAGCATGCTTAAGCTGTGAAACATGAAAAACAGGGTGAATGGAGCTCTCTGCAGAAAGAGACAACTTATAAGCCACCTTGCCCACCCGATATAAAACTTGAAAAGGACCAAAATAACGGAATGATAGTTTATGATTTGCTCTTTTTGCCACAGAGGACTGAATATAAGGTTGCAATTTCAAGTAGACCCAATCTACATTAGAAAATTCTCTGAAACTGCACTTTTTATCTGCATACAGCTTCATTTGTTGCTGGGCACGATTTAGGTGTTGTTTCAGTAACTGAGTCATCACCTTACGTTCATTTAACCACTCATGCAAATCAGGTACTGAGCAGGCATCATCCCTTATACCAAAATGACCAGGAGGATAGCCATAGAGAGCTTCAAATGGAGACTGAAGAATGGCAGAATGGTAAGAAGTGTTAAACCAAAATTCTGCTAAATACAACCAAGAACTCCATTTATGAGGAACAGCATGAACAAAACATCGCAGATATATTTCCAAACATTGGTTCACACGCTCAGTTTGTTCATCTGTCTGGAGGTGATAAGCGGTGCTTAGTTGCAATTGTGTGCCGGTTCTCAAAAACAACTGCTCCCAAAAGTGGCTAGTTAAAATCTTGTCGCGGTCTGAAATGATGAACTTAGGTAACCCATGTAACTTGTAAACATTGACCATAAAAGATTGAGCCACATCAATAGCAGAAAAAGGATGGGACAATGGAAAGAAATGAGAGTACTTGGAAAACTTGTCAACCACCACTAAAATACAGTTGAATTGACCGGACTTAGGCAAACCTTCAATAAAGTCCATGGTGATAATCTGCCATGCACCATCAGGGACAGGAAGGGGTTGAAGAAGACCAGGGTATTTAGAGTGATCTGGTTTGGCCTGCATGCAAATACCACATGTTTTGACAGCAGTATGAATCTGTTTCTTCATCTTGGGCCAAGCAAAAAGAGACTTGATTTTACTATAAGTAACAGG